ATTTCCGTTCAAAAGAAAATGAATGATCATCTCGCATACAGTCCAAACCATCATCAGTATTTATTTCACATAGTTTTAGCATTTCTTTGAAAGACAATTTCTTTGTAATAAGTTTGTTTTTGAATAAAAATGAACGTGAGACTTTGCTCGACAGAACTTTTTGTCCCATCAAATGTGTACATTCACATTTCTTCAAAGCTTCACTCCCCTAAATCAAATTCAAGCACTAAAACGCACAATAGCAAATTCTGACAGGATTCTGTTTGAATCAGATAAGGATTTGAAATGAAAACTTCAAGGATTCTCATTAGGGATGGATTGCAGTGATATATGAATTTTTGTATAAAAATGCTTACTGTACAATAAATATAGATGATAATATGAATCCTTTTCTCGAACATATAAATAAAATTGTTACAGTATTATTGACACATCAACTCGTGATTAGTTTTTTTTCTTTCGATAGTAATTTTAATTGTAGTAGAATAAAAATTTATTACATATGTTTATTATGCGCAAGCCATGTTTTTATGTTACTTTTTTTGTGTCAAAAAGAAAAGAGACTAATGTATGTTTCTTATATTGTTCGAAAGCAAAAGTTATTGATCAATTGTATTGATCGCTATTTGTCCTATGCCCCGATTAAAAGTAATAGTACCAATCACATTCAAATTTGGTTTCGCAATAGTATTCACAATTTTCTTGATCAAATTAGGCAGTGTACTGAGACAAACCATTGGCAGAAAAAGCGGAATTAAATAGACAACGAACAGAATTGTCTCCAGTTCATTGATCATAAATGAAGGCATCACAGTTATTTGGGTGAGTTGTGTGATTGCCAAAGGTAACCAAAATGCCATGTAAAGTGATGAAATAATCCATAGTTGAAGTACCATTTTGCGATGACGTCGCCAGTTTATTGCTCGATTACGAGACGTCTTTTGATAGGTGACGCGAATTATTAATGTTAGATTTGCAAGGATAATTATAGTAATGGGAACAGCGATATTGAAGATGAAATCAAACTGACCGAGAAAATTTGCTGTAAAATAACATGGAATACCACAATTAACTAAATTAAAATCCCATACATTCGTACAATGTGGGGAGATGACTACAACCACAAAATAAAATATTGGTGTCCAAATCAAACAAAGAATGATTGGTACGAAATGAAATATCCATTTTTTCCATGGCTTGTGCTGCATCGCGCGCGGTTGAAAAACAAGCACATGTCGTTCGATGGAAATCCATGCCATTAAAAATAGTCCAATCGTATTTATTGAGAATTCAAACCATGTCCACCATACACAATATGCATCGGATGCGGGCCAAACGATCTCCATATAATAATAACTCATTGGCATCGGTAAATCAATAAGAAGTTGCAAAAAATTGGTTATAATTAAAACAAGCCATCCATGATTTTTAAATTGTGAACGAGCTCATGATTCAAAGCCAAGTGAGCGAAGATCAGAATTGAGAAAAAACATGCTGGAAATTCGAAAACGAGCATTAGACTAAATTTAATCATACGATTCATGATTCACATACAATATAGTGAATAAACAAAAGTGTTTCAAGTGTCGACTATTTATAAAAGGTCAATAAAGAATAAATGAAAGAAAATCAAAGAATGTTCATCAAATTTATAGATGTGTTTACTCATCAGTAGGATTTGTCAAACTCAAGACATTATTATCCTCTATAATTACTTATATAGCAGCTACTTCATCAAAATTTTCTTTCATAGAGTGCTGGATTATAAATGTGTAGACTCTTTCATTTTCATCAGAAAAAAGCTTTCTTAGTCTCAATGATAGTTCATTGTCCAAAGCGATACAATTTTTGTATAGAAACAGTGAATAAAGGTAGTCAACTGAGATGTCTAAGAAAACTTTCTAGTAATATAATTAATTTTAGTAAACGTTTTTCTCAATGGTGACCCGAAATAGCCAATACTGAGAGGGCGAAGTCAGTGTCACGATTTTTTTTTTGCAAAAGAAGAGTATCTTTCTTCTAGTAGAATGGAAAAAACATGTTCAGGTCTGCTAGGAAAAACAAAAATCTTCCACCATTGTGAGGGAAGCGGACAAGGGAACTGTTACATTCTCGGCACACCTTGATCAGACCACCACTGTCTGCTAGTCATTTTTTGTATATACGTCTAAGTGGATAGCTATTTAATTTCAAGCACTATTTGATGAATCTTCTTAACTATTTAATAGATA